AAACGGCGGCGTCAGCTGACGGCTCCGCCGGGAAACGGCCGCCGCTGGACGGGCATCCCTCCTCCTCCTCTTCCCTCCCCACCGGCACCGCGGCAGCGGCGCTCCACCCCTCCGAGCCCGGCCTCCTCCTGCCCTCGCCTCCCGGGTCACCCCCCCCGGGCAGCCTGTCAGGTGTGCCTCAGGCCCTGCGGCTGGGTGCGCTGCTTCCCGTGTTAAAGCGCTGCCGTGCAGGGTCAGGAGCTCACAGGAGACTTCTGGATACAACCTCCCATACTGAATACATCCAAAGATTTCTCTCACACAGCAGTTTCCAAGATGGAAAGGTCTTGGTGACCTTTACCTTCCCTGAGCAGCCCCTCATCCTGACGGGAAACACTGGGCCGGGATGCTCTCCTTCCCAAGTTAAAGCACTGTCATCTCTTTCGGGAGCCCTGCACTAAAATGAAGAGATACCGCACAGTGCTGTGCACATCTCCAAAGATTGCTCTCACACAAAAGGTGCCCGGACAGAAAGCTGGTTCTGGCCTTTTCCTCTCGTGGCCAGACCATCATCTGCAGTGCCACATACACTCCGGGCGGTGCAGGGCCGAGGACTTGCCCCAGCTCCCCAGAGGAATGACAGAACAGCCGCCTCTGCCGCCTTGGCTGGGCAGAAAGAGGCATTTACCCAGGGGACCTCACTAAATGGTTCCCAGAGCGGCCTGAATTTTGCTCACTTCATATTTTAAACTTGATTGCTTCATGGTTGCTGTGGCCAAGAAAATCACAAATCGTCACTTTGTCCACAAGTCTCTCTCTTTTAACAAGCAACAAATTAAGGGCACCTTTCCCAGTCAGTTCTCGTAGTACCTGTACCAAGAGGTATAGGTGTTTCAGGAATCTTATGGACCTTTTTTATCAACTATATTAATTTACACGTACTTCTAAGTTACTAAAAGACTCATTTGTTGGTGGTGTCATCTGGCTGGGTGGCCTATAGTAGACTCCCACAATCACACCTGCCTTATTTGTTTGTCCTTTAATCCTTACCTGGAGGCTCACATATGCCAGTGACTGTGCATCTCTGGGGCTGAGCCAAAGCTTCTAAGCTCCTCTTGCTTGTTCCTCATGCTGTGTGTAGAAGCACTTCAAATGCAGTTCTTTGTACTCAGTGCCTCATGTAGCCAACTAAGGATCTCGCTGGCACACAGTCTCTCTCAGTCTTTGGTGTGCCGTTCCTTTGCTCATCCCCCCATTTTATCCCTTTGCCCTGCACACGTCTGCAGGGAGTTAACTCAGGAGTCAAAAGTCACAGTAGGAACCAGCCTACAGTGTGAGTAACAAAGCCAGTGGTTCTCCTAAAATAGTAGTTGGACCTGAGATCTGTAAAGATTTTATATCCCCTGAGAACAGATGCAGCCAAAAGCATGTTTACTCTAAAATGAGTACTCCAAACTAGGGAAGCAGGCGCAGGCAGCTCCCAATTTAATTAAGAATACACAGCAAAGGAATATGGAGACCTGACAGGAATGAGAACATTTAACACCAGCCTTTGGGGTCTGGTTTGTCTGTCCCTGCTTGCCAAGTGCTCTGTAAAAGGAGCTGCTGGTGACATGGCTCTATACAGGAATTGCTAAAACATTCCTTGCCAGCAAACAGGAATTAGGTTCACAGACATATCTATATCTATCTATCTATCTATCTATCTATCTATCTATCTATCCATATATCTATATCTATATCTATATCTATATCTATATATCTATATCTATATCTATATCTATATCTATATCTATATCTATATCTATATATATCATTTGTGGTAGAAACTGGGTAACTGTGTATCTTCAGTACCTAGACTTTAAACCTGTCCTTTAAACCTTTTTGTGGAGGAAAAGTGTTGCTACACTTAGGGTGCTGTAATTAATTTTTTTTCATCTGTTGATAAGAGTTTACCTGTGCAGACCTGGGTTGATACATTTTTGTGATGGATGTTCTAATTGCCAGGGCCATTCACAGAGTTTTCAAGCTGTTTTTTTTTTTATTTTAACTCTTCACTTTTCTGAAGAGAAGGAAAAATTTAATGACTGTGTACCCATGCTGGAACAAGAAGACCCTTTTGTTTGCTCGTTATGGACATCCCCAGGGACCCCTCTGTGTAATCTACATAAGCAAGTAACCTGTCAGAGGCACTGATCTCACTGACTGCAAATATCCTCTTCATAGAGAACAGTGCAGCCACAGCCTCTCCACTAAACAATCTGTCTGAGGAGTTATTGAACCTCTCAAAAAGCCTGCTTGGAATGAAGCAGCTTAATGTCCTCCTTTTACCCAAGGAAAGGAAAATAGGTACGCTAAAAGATAAATTTACTGCAAACACAGTGCACTTTTCACTGTGAAAAAAGGAAACTTCTTGGCCAGGCTCAGCAGAGGATATAACCCTAAGTTTTGTTCTGTTTCTGCAAAGTCTTTCCAGCATCTGATCAACACATCAAGCTAAGTACTTCTCTGCCTATAAATGAAGAGCTTTAAAAATCATCCCCAAATTGTGCCTAAGCACCCCAAAGTTAAAAAGAAGACATAGAAGAAATGCTGGTGGTTTTAATTTTCTGACTTTAAACAAAATAAAAAACAGCGTTTCACTTGCAAGTTCTTTTGATGAACATGAAAGCAATGTATTTGTAAGGAAAACAGAGATGCTTAGTTTTGCATCAATATGAGCTGACAGGAAATCACAAGTTATCTCACAATGCATGCTGGTATTGCGTAGAACAGTTTGGCAGAAGCTTGGTAAGAGGACTAACATTCACATTGCTTCTCTTCCCATTCTTGCGGGCAAAAAAACTCTGTAAAGTGGTGGGTTAAATTATACTTATTATTTTGCTTCCAGGGAGAATTAAACTAAATCTGATTAAAGTCACTTAAATCCTGAACATGAGTGCTCAGATTCATGAAGGAGACACCAAAGGATGTGAAGATCCTTTGCATCAGACACTTTGCTCATGGGCATGCCTTTACCCTACTGCAGTTAATGTAGCTCTCCCAATGCCAAATAAGCTTGCATTATACCAAGGGCCAAACTAGCTTGAATTAAGGATAATTACCATGGATCCACTGTCAGGCAGCCATTTGCAAGCTCAAAGTAACTCATCCCTAATCCCAGAGACCATGCCCGTGCTTTCACATGTGCTTTCCTTAGGAGGTGCCCTGGGGTTTGGCTGATATCTACTCCCCCTCTTCTGTTTTGCCACAGGTTGGCCCAGGAGGTGGAAGAGGCTGAGTCCTGTACAGTGGAATCATCATACAGATCTATGCCTGTTTCATGAAGAGTTTCAAGATGACAACCAATTCTTAGAAATATGCAGACACCTTAGGGAAGATTTTGCAGTTGAATGTGGAGTATCCTAGGCACCTTCCTCTTGGAAGGAGATGCTTTGCTGCTGGCATGAGCATGGAGCCAAGTAACAGCAGAGTCCAACACAAAACCTAACCAGAATCACTGTTTTCTCCATAACTGGAACTGAGCCTGAACTGCAATTTGGAAATTTCCTTGAAGTGTGAGTTGAATGAGCATTGGTCACAGCTGAACACCATCATTAAAGCAAAACTCTGTGATACTCAGACTTCCTGCAGAGAGCGGAACTTAAATCAGATCATTTGCATGCCAGCTTACCAGAAAGAGGACATAAGACGTGCAAGTTCATACTTTTATTAACCACTTCTCACTGCCTTCTTCTTCAGAGTCTTCCCTGCCACATTCTTCTGGATGTCACATAAAGATGTACCACCAGTAGGGACTTTATGGGACTGCCTGCCATCCTGCCCTGGGTCTTCTGGCTTTCTGCAGCAGGAATAGCCTGGCCTTTCCTCTTGAAGGTGGCATACTTTTGTTTTGCTCCATTTTGCTGTTGACTGCAAAGCACCTGGTGTTGTGGGGTGTGTGACAGACCCTGTGATCTTGGCTCCTGCCTGGTGGCAGCCTTAGCAGGCAACAGTGGGAAGCTGTGACCATGGGTCAGCCTGGAGCAGGCAGGACTAGACTGGGCTCCTCATTCTTGTCCCAGCCTCCCAAAAAGACACTGGAAGTTGCCCAAAGGCACCCAGTTCTTGTTCATGGGCATTTTTTCTCCCCAGTGAAATTGTTTTGTGGCAGGACACAGCCTAGGAGCAACTCTGTTTTGCCCTGTGCTAAATGATGCACATGAGCAGAAAATTGATGGTACATTGTCTTTTTGGTAGCAAAAGAGCTTACCAGGAAAAAACCCAAAATAAAAATAAAAGAAAGAAGAGATTGCCACCTGTGTTTGAGTCACTTAAAACATGAAAACCGGAGAGTAAACAGTCTGTGGCAGATCTAATCAGGCTGAGGCCCCAGGAACACACACTCACCTCAACCTACAAAAAGCTCTAAGGTTAATTGTAAGTGCAAAGAGCAAATATCACAGGCAGAGTGTTACTCCTGGGTGCCACATCCAGGCTGCCCCCCCTGCAGCAACTGTCCCAATGAGTCCCCTCACTCCTCCACTATTCACGTTTCTCTTTCCCACGAGCAGCCTCCATGGAAAAGAAACTGAATTACAAGTCACCTTTTATTTTCCTCCCCCACCAAACTGGCCAAGTTACAATGATCTTTGTGCTTGCAATTTAAGGTTGGTCTGACAGCTAGAAGAAAATAACATAAAAAAGCTCCTTGGGGATATACAGCTCTGAACTCTTCATCAGATGCTGCAATGACATGTTAGAAGTGAGTTCTGGGGAGAAATCAGGAGCTCACAGACTGCTGCCAGCCACAGCCACAGGTGCTTTTAGTCAGCCCACAACTAGTCAGAGGGAAGTCAAGAGTATGAACATGGGCCATTTCCTCATAGAGGATAGAGCCTCATAGTTTGGCTCTATCCACTTCTGCTGTAGTCTCTGCAAGGCAACCTCTTGGTTACATGAGTTCCTTTTGAAGGGGTCTGGAGTAAAGGTCTGTGCTAGTTGAAGGTCTCCAGTAGCCCTGACCCACCTGTGCTGTCCAGGCCTCATCCCCAGGCATTATTCTAGACAAGCTGGTGCAGAACATGTGGAATATTTAAGTGCATTTGTCTTGCATTGAGCCCACCAGGCTCAGCTACCTTTTGTGATAGTGGACCGACCAGAAAAGCGATCTGCAGTAGAAAAAGCCCAATGTTTTCTTGTTTACTGGGGCTTAATGATCAGCTTTGCAGGCCAACAGCAATGAGTACTGTGCCTAAACTCACAGATAAGAAAGAGAACTTGCAGGCAGAGATTAATCACTTGCTGCAGAGGATACAAATATTTAAGACTGCAAAGTACTACTAAAGCCAGGTACTTTTCTTTCTTAGTTGCTAGATAATTTAAGAGGAACATTTCAATATTTCTCATCAATCTCTTGCAAGATACAGTGCTTTTAGATTACTTTTTACATGTGCACACTGGGGAGTCTACAGCTTGTTAAAAATGAGATGGCAGTGACTGTAGTACATCGAAGGACTTAATCAGCACAGTGCCATAGAGAAGCTGAACTCCTGGTGTAGGCTAAATGTAAATTTGTAATACGAAAATAACTAAATTCAAATCAGTGACACCAACTTCTGTGTGGTTTGTTCATGTTCCAGACAGAGTTGTTTCAAAGAGTTGAGGTTTTTATTAAAGGTAGAAGAAGAAGAAGTACAAGGAAGAGTGTCACAGTCCTGCTTCAGAGTTGTTTCAAATCAGTTGTTTTCCCCCATCTTTACTCTCCAGGCTACGGAGCTTCCTCCAGGACCGAGGAGTGATCTGGCTGAAGATGGCAGCTGCAAGTGTAGTGAGTATACAGCTATGTAACTGTTCATCTCCTTTTCCTTCCCCCCCTCTTTGTCTCCATCAGTTTTCTGCCTCTCTCGAGCCACTGGTACCATCCCAATACTTTGCCTCTTCCCAAGTTGGGCATTTTGCCTTTTGTTATGTATTTGAAGCCAAGCAAATCATATTTTAAATTATCTGACAGAGATAATGCTTTCACCGTCTGCCATTTTAATAATTGAAGTTGTCTGGACATCGTGAGCTGCTCTTTTGTGAGTTTCTCATTCAATGGGTCATGGTTATAAACCTCTGCTCTGCTGCACAATTCAAGCAATCTGAAATTAGCTGTTTCACTGGCAGCCTTTGCACTTTCACATTTAAATGTAATACATTAAGCATCTTCAATTGCATCTGGTGGAGAGGGGAAAATGTATGCTTTACTGAGCCTCTTGACGCAAATTTACTAGATGTCCTGTTGCAGGTCACACATCCTGGTAAGTGTAGCCTGGATTACTACAGGAATAACAGCATGGTGCTGTCCCTGTGTGAAAAGCAAGTGAACAGCACAGACTTCATGTGCGACATGAGGCAGGTCAGGCAGTTTGCTCAAGCCTTCCTGCCAGTGTTTTTCTGGCTCATCTTTGCTGTGGGCACAGTGGGGAACACCTTGGTCGTGCTTGTCTATTGCAAATATCACTTCAGGAGGAGCATGATGGATCAGTACCTGCTGCACCTGGCCATCGCTGACCTCCTGCTCCTTTTCACCTTCCCCTTCTGGGCCCAGGCTGCTTCCAATGGATGGATCTTTAAGGACTTCATGTGCAAAGTTGTCAACAGCATGTATAAGATCAACTTCTATGGCTGCAGCTTGCTACTAACCTGCATCAGCTTTGACAGGTACATCACTATAGTCCAAGCGATGAAAGCTAAAACTTGTAAGCAAAGGTGGCTCCTGCGTAGCAGGCTCATGTGCCTGGCTGTCTGGCTGACATCTGTGAGCCTGTGCATCCCAGAAATCATTTACAGCCAGAGCACACAGGTGGGTGATGTAACAGTTTGCAAAATTATGTACCCACCAAATGTTAGTGTGATCTTCAGAGTTACAGTCCTGGCCTTGAAAGTCATCATAGGATTCTTCCTCCCTCTCTTTGTCATGGTGATTTGTTACGCCCTTATCATCAAAACCCTCCTACAAGCCAAAAGATTCCAAAAGCAGAAGTCACTGAAGATTATCACCTTGATCATCACTGCTTTCCTCCTCTCTCAGTTCCCATACAATATTTTTTTGCTGGTCAAAGCCATCAACACTTACACTGGGGTGGTGCACAGTTGTCAGGCTGCCAACCAGCTGGACATTGGACTGCAGGTCACCCAGATCATCGCCTTCCTCCACAGCTGCCTCAACCCCTTCCTCTATGTCTTTGCTGGCGAGCGGTTCAGGATGGCGCTGGGCAGGATGATGCAAAGCTGCGGCTGCTGCTGGAGCGGGGGCCAGGAGCACTCCTCTGCCTGTGACAGCCAGGAGCACAGCTCAAACTGGTCCTTTGCCATGCTGGGGAGGCGGCGGGTCACGAACTCCCTGATCCTCAACACTCACTGGACCTCCTCTGTTATGTCTCCTCCTTCCAAAGTCATCCTGTAAGTTAGTCCTCACATTCTCCTTTCCAGACAAGCACCAAGCTCTTTGGAAACCACCTGTATACCCCAAAGATTAACCCAGAGAGGCAGAAAGGGTTGGGGGACTGTCCTTGATGTGTGGGACCCAACTGAGGGTTGCTGGCTGAGAGAACAGGAAACATTTGGCAGATGGGAACAAAATGGAACCATACTTGCTATAAACAGAACTGATAGATGTCAAAAACTAACCTTTGTGACAGCTGGCCCATCTGCAGCTCAGACCACAACCTGAAATAACAAGTCTTGCAACGGGTGATAAACCCAGCTATGGCAGCAACAGAGGCAGATGAAGCATTCTGTCCATAGGAAGCAGCAGGAGGGGCTTCAGCCTTCATTTGCTGTCATACCAGGTTTCCCTAAGAAGGTGGCCTGACTCGGGAGCCCTGCCAGATTCCTACACCAGATCCAGTCCTGTGTAAAGTGTCAGGCCTTTAGATCTGACACTGGTTTGTTGCAGTGAACAAATGCTGCTCTCTGTGCCTAGGCAAATGCAACTCTGGCTGCATATGAAAAGAAAAAGAAAAGGAAAACCACTTGTTCATGTACATAAAGTGGGCATTGCAGAATCTAATCTGTCTTTCTCCTGTATTTTAGCTTTGTGATGTCAGGTATGATGGGTCCTGTTTTGATACTGGAGACAAATCACCCCTCACAATAAAAAATTAAGGGCTTCAGAGGCATTGAATTGTCTGTCCCAGGAATATTTGCTGTATGGTGAAAAGCTGTCATAAACCAGAACACAAAAACCAAACCCATGGTTCCACTGACCGCCAGTTATGCACCAATATCTTTGGAAAATATATTTAACCTAGGACCAGCAAGACAGGGAGTAATTTTTATTACTTACCTAATTAATTAATTAATTTCAAACCTAAAGAAATTTGTAATGAGACATCAGGTTGTGGAGACTGCCATTTCCGGAAGTGGTGTGCTGTAATGTTCCCCAAAACCTGAGCCCACGGGGCATCATTTATCTGTTCCCCCTTGCTCATTCTCTCCCAGGGACATGGCCTCCCCTGTCTTGCCTGACCACAGCCTGCACCTCCCACTCTTCAACTGCAGGATGTAGTGCTCAGAAGCCTTTGTTTAAAATAATCTCATTTCACCTGGTTTGCTTTCTGGCACTTAGCTCTTCCAGGGAAAAAGGGTTTTTTTCATTGTGCATTTATCATTAAAGAATGTTGGTAAATGAGCTCTCTGCAAAGTTTGATGCTGCTTTTCTAGCTAATAGGGTACACCTGCGCAGGTGGGGTTCAAGTTTCATATACATTTATTAGGTTTTTTTTTTTTTTTTTAACTTAGGAAGAAAAATGGTCAAAGATGTACATATTTTTTACTGTATGTGTAAGAAGAGTGTGGGAGGCTTTTGTGATTTGTGCTCAGCAAACAGAAGCCAAAATTAAATAAAGGTACTGCCACATACACCAAGGGGATGAACTGGTTGTTTCTTGCCCATACATCCTTTCCCATTCAGATCCATACGTGCAATCTCTTTGCAATCACAGCATTTACCCCTCTAAAAGGAGGCCAAAGGAAAACTTTGCTAAGAAGGTTTATTTCAAATATCTAACCCTTGTGATGTGGAAGCTGCAGCTGAGAACCCCACAGGCACTGGAGCAGGTTTAGGCTGCTGAGGCAAGGGCTGGGGTGCAGTCTGGGGAGGCAGGGCAGGGGAGGAGGGAGCACATTGGGGGCAGATGCTTCCCCACAGCAGCTCAGGCCCACTACCTCTTCCTGAGGCTGGGGGTGATGGTGCTCTTACACAGAGGGTTCTCCTGGCCCCCAAAGAGCCCTTGAGTTATGCAAACAAGTGTGCAAGCCTTAGCTGCAAGCTCCTCTTCCCTGCAGTACATCTCACCAGCCCCAGGAACTTGAACTTCATGGGCATCTCACAGAAAGTAAAGCTTCTTTAGTCTCCAAAACGCAGCAAGAAATATTCATGCTTGATCAGCAGGTGAAAATGCTGAGGGTGGTGAAATGGCAATGAACTTGTGGCAGTTTGGGATGGGGTTGTTCCTGGGTCATGCACATCCTCCTCTGAGTCAGGTTGCTCCCATCACTTTGCCAGGAAAAGCTGGGGATCAACCTCCCTGGGGGCAGTTTTCCCTCTTGGGTTCTGTTCCACCATGGCTGCCTGCAGTCCAGTAGCTGCTGGTGGCTCCCAAAGCTGCTCTCACCACACAAACTCAGGGGGAAGCTGCCTCCCTGCACCCATTGGCTGCAGCCTCATCCCCAACCCTTTTTGTTGGTCAGCACACAGCAGGGATTCAGTCATGGAGGTGTTTTCTGCCACTACTCCCTCTTGCATCTGCTGGGGGCCTCTGTCTGCCAGCAGCACAGCTCCTTGTGGTCAAACTCTTCTTGGGCTCCTCTGTCCCTCTGCCCTGATATTTTACTTGGATTTATCCTACCACAATCCCTCTTGTGCCTGGCTAGGGTGTCCCTAGCCTTCACCTGATGCTCTCTTCCACGGGAAGTTGATGGGAGGTTTCCTCACAGGCAAAGGGTATTGCCTCCCCTGTCCTATGAGCAGTCCCAGGGGACTCTGCTCATGCTTTATACACAGCTCTAGCAGGATGGGCACCAAGCAGTTGTTGGAAGTCCCGGGAGAGGCCTGAGATCTTCTATAGGTTGGGTCTCCTCCCTTCTCTTTGAGGCCATTTTTTCCTAGATGATCCCAGTTTTGGGCTGTAGTCTCCTATGCTGTTGCTCTTCTTTGAAGAGGAGCTGGACACGTCCCTGCTATCTGTGGTACTTGGCTCTCACACCCAAGAGAACACTGAGTTTAGCATAACACTGTGGAGACAGCTTTTAAAGTTAAGTAGAGAAACTGGGAATGTGTGTAAGTTAGAGACAGTTTCCTTAAGTCACTGGGTGAAAAAGTTAGTTTAGGGTTTAAGCTGTATTAGAAAATAAGAGACAACACGGAGAATTTAGGGCATTGTCCCTTTCTCCTCCTTCTTCTTCTAAGGGTTTTTGGGTGATAATGAGTGACTGTATAAAGAAATCCACAGTGCAGTACACAGGTGTCAGGTCATTGGGTCACTAAGAAAAATAACTTACTCGGCATTTGATTATTGGACAAATAGACACAATAAAAGACCTTGGAAAGATTTTTCGTTCTCTGTTTTGCACCTTTCTATCTTAGTGTATGTAGCTCCTTGTACTCTGTATATATGTAATATAGATAAGGAAAGAATAAACAACTGAGCCTGAACAGGAGAATACATCTCTCTCTCGTTAATCTCAGTCCTGGGGAAAAAGAACCCAGCCAACAATGTCGCACCCCAACATTCCAGAGAGCAGGGAAGTGATGGAAAAGTGTGAAAGTACAGGAATTATTACTATATTTGGACTTCAAAGCATCCCTGTGACACTTCAAGGACTAGTGCAGAGGATACCACGACCTTGTGACAACTTCACATGGTTCCCACAGAAAAATGATATCCCATGTATGCCAAGGCCTGTTCTTGGGGCACAGACTGAAAAATATAAGGCAGGAGTAGGGTTGGGAGAGCCCTTCCCCTAGCACCAAGGGAGAGGGTATTACCCAGTATGGATAAAAATGTGTTACTGGAGATGGACACAAAGACTTTCAATGGCTGCAGCACTTCCCTGCAGAGCTGAGGTACAGCATGGTATGATCACTTACACAGGTACTGGCTATATGTAAGATTCACTATTTGCAGGTCCCTCACACTCCAGATTAGGCTTTGCTGGAACCTCTCTTACAGGGAAGCTTCTGAATGTGGAGGCAGGACTCCAGATGCCTCCAGAGATGCTCTTAAGCTTCTATTGTAATTGTAGCTTTGAAATGAGGGGATGGCACAATATAAATTCAATAAAAACCCCAAGTAAATTATACAATCATCCAATTTATCTTCCACACAAAGCTATCTCTACAAGGCAAAAAGGGACAAACATTCACAATGATAAAGAATTTTATTCTTAAATTCCTGAGGTTAAAAAAGGAAAAAAAAAGCATCAAGAAAAACATTCCAATGCAACCGTTTACATTCCTGTAACTGTACAGACACACGGGTATACATGATTTTTCCCATATCTGGAGCAGGAAGTTTGATGTGAATAGGGCTTGCAATTCTTTGGCAGTTAAGACCAAAAGATGCTTCTGAACAAGTTACAACCTCAGTGATTGAGCATAATTAAAACTATAGTGCAATTTCAGTTTTAGGAAAGAAGACAGGTTTTTGTAGCTTTGCTATTTTGTAACATGGTAGACTTTTGTGCAATACCTCTTTCATTTTTCATAAAGAAACATTGAGTAATGTTGAGTAAAGGAACACTGTCATTTTCTTGAAGAAACTACCTTCTCTCCTTTGCATAAACCTCTTCATAACAAAAAATCTTACCCTCCATATCTCCTTACCCTTTCCAGCACCCAGAAAAGCATCTCATTGCTTATGCTGATCACAATGTATAATCTTTGTCCTATGAATGTGACATCTCCTTCAATTAATTTCATGATCAATTTAAAATATTTTTCTCTTTATTGCATTGCTGCAGATAATAAAAAGCCCACTTCAACAAACCACCTGGGCACCTATAAATAAATGGATTTTTCAGTATTGCCGGAATAACTCACATGAACAAGCATTTTATGAATGGAAGAATGAGGTGCTTGAATGAAATAATCTCTTGCCTGCCCTTGTGCAAAGTCCTTTATTGGGTTTCCATGATTCCATAATGAACTGTCTGGGACATTTAAACAAAAGGTCTCTACTAATGCCAGGTTCTTTGCTGTCTCTTCACAGCCTCTTCCAGCTGTTATGATGGGATTACTGCTCCTGGGAAAATTCTTTGAACAGCTGTATTCCTGTCCATTTGCACCTTACCAGCCTGATATTTAATTTTAATTTGAAACTTTTTCTCCTTAAGTACTGTCTTTGGTCAGAATCAAACATTTTCTTTTCATCTTTAAACTACAGGTTCTGACTCTCACTCTTAGTCGTCTTTCAAAGAGAGGGAAAAAAAAAAAAAAAGCCATAAAATTACTCTCAAAGGATAGGAAAACCTGAAGAAAAGGGACCATAGAGACTCAAATGCTAAATGAGAATCCAGTGGATTTACTCTTCTTCTCCGAAACATAGGCTTCAGCAGTCTCAGGACTGTCTACATGAGAGACCTCCAGGGAAACATCTGGCTTACTACACGGAGACAATAATTTTAAGAGCTACATGGATAGGGGCTTAAAAATATTTGCCACAGGATAAAAATTTTAAAGAACTTTTAAAGTTTTTAAAGAACTTTTAAAAAAATTTTAAAGAAGATGTATAGAGGAAATCAAGAGGCAAGGCTGTCAAATTATTTTTAGCAGAGAGACTTCAAATACTTTTTAACAGAGATGTCATATTTTGCTGAAGATACTTGACAGTGTCCCTTTACCTTACATTTGGCATTTTAAGAAGTATAATCCCAGTAAAATTAGTATTCTAAGTAAACAACAGCAAAATGTTTTTAAAAACCACACCTAAAAGCTTAAAAGAATACTGCAGCAGACTTCAGTAGCAGTTCAGTGAAATTGCATAGTATATGGTACATAGTACTCCATTCTTAAGCAATAAATAATGTCTCCTTGCCTAATTAAATATAAAACATAGCTTCAAGACTGAAATATACTGTAATTCATGAACCAATTGAGGCCATTTATTGCTAACGTCAGTCTCTCATCCATCTCATTTTCATGCACACAACCAGGTCAGGGCTTAACCACAGTGCAGCCTTCAGGAGTTTGCACCTTCCACTGACCACTCTGCCTGGCAGAGGGTTGGGAGCACAGCACCACCGTGGGGAAAAAGGCAGCTGAAGGCAAGGGAAAGCTATTGATGAGCCAGAGACCTAAATCCTAGGTGCTCCATGAAAAGTAGTCATTCTTTCACAATCTTTTGAAGATTACTGTATTATACAACAACTGGAAAAAATTACGAGCAACCTTTAACTGCAATTATTTTCTTTTCTATGACCAAAAATTTCCCTCTGCCTCAGCTGCTCCTATGAAAATGTCCAACACTTAGTTTGTGATCTCCACCTTTTAAACAACCAGTCTTTTGGGGTGGAAGACCCTTACAGGTATTGGACTGGACCAGCAAAACATAAAAACACCAGCTTGGCCTCTCCTGACCACGTTCCCTAGCTGAGCTTGTTCCTCCAATTCCCTCTCCTCGCTTTTACATTTACAACTTTGCCCCTTTCATCTCCCCAAACCATTTGCTTCAGTTTATGCTTGCCCTTTTTTCTTCTTTCCTCTCCTGCTTTATTTTCTGTCTCCCACCATGACCCCTGTATGCCAGCTATAGCAGACACAAAGTCTCTACAGGGTTCCTCACAGGTTGTGCTGGTCTTCTACCAACTGCTGCACTAAAACCCTCCAGGTCTGAGGTTTCCTTG